ATGGCCGATTCAACATGTTGAATCGGCCATGCGTCGGCCATGAAAGGCCAAATAAGGCGTGGCACGGCCGACGGTGCGGGACACACCAAATTGAGTTTGGGCGACAGGGCACGCTTCGTCGTCCGACTAACGAAAACGGACGATTTTGGCCTGGTGTGTAAGGGCCTTAATGAACTACATCTCTGGTCTCGCAGACTCTCACAACAACACACGTCACCAAGATGGCCAGGAGGAAATCAAACTACTGTCTTGTTAAAAAAGTGATTGACTACCCTCACAATCTACACAATGAAACACGTCCAGAAGAATGTCATGCAAAGCTGCCTGCCTGACTTCCTTTGATTCTCTCTGAACTGCCTGATCTTTTTAATGTTTAATGTCAACCATTTGTGCAGATAGCATGAAGTAGAACAGATCGCCGGTGCTAATGTAGCGTTAGCGTTAGCATTTCTCCCCCAGGCTTAAATGGTGTATTATAGAATGATCACACCGGTGTGACAGTACTCCTCAAAGGTTTCACGAAATATATATGTTTAACATTTTGGGTTACTTGATGATACTTCATGTTAAGGCTAATAAAAATGACAAGGCTAAGACTGTAATGCTAACTAACGTGCTTGCTACTAGAAAGGTAGCTAACTTGATCCAGCCAGCCACTCCTGGTCCGTTCATCAGACGGGAAGCGAAAGAACGAGCAAGACCCATTGCTGGTATGATAACAACCTGGTACTAAGCACACAGGCATATTGTTAAAGTTATCTTATCTTAGCTATCTCTTATATTTAGCGGAGAAAAACAATTGTGACATCAGTTATGACATCATTTCGTTTGTAGTCTTTCCAGTTGCGTATTTTTCATAGTCTTATATTTCAACAGTTTTATGATACACTGTGACTTTTTTGACATGAAAAGGATTTTTTAAGATTGACAAACATCATATGTTTAATTTGTGGCACAATTTAAACGGGATCGGAAGATAAGTTTTCTCTCTCCATTGACTTCAATACATAATTTTTCCGAAATGGTCCCATGGACCGGAAGTACATGGGCGTGACTTCGCCACTCTATAGTGTTGGGTCAAAACCAACACAACATAACAACAGGGCTTCCGTAGAATTTGACACTGCTGTCACATTTTACTTAGTATTTATAACTGTTGTGGCTTTGGGTGTACTACTCAACACATCTCAATATAATTATTTTCATCCCTAACATTAAATACGTGTGCTTTCAAAGTATTGAGTATCTTATCAGAATGAACCTTAAACTGACTTAAGATATTTTGGTTCCCTCAGTCTCACGATAGCACATACCTCCTCCATTCTTGCCACAAAGATAAGGGAACCTCCAGACATTTCCTAGGCCTATGGCGTATCCCACACATGACAGGAGGAAATCAAACTTTCCCTTCCAGCTTCCCCTCTCCGGTGGCTCTTCTTTTTCCTTCTTTTCATCACCAAGGGGTGCCACAATATCCAGCTCCTCAAAGGGAACTGCTTGTTTTACCTCTGTTGGGGAGTTTAAGTCCACTGTACTCTTCCCAGTCTTCCCCATGGTGGAACCACTACAGACCAGTGGGGTCAGTAAATCACACGGTCCACACGGCCTGTAATGGTGACGAATAACAGTCTCTGTTACTGTCCAGCTGTGCCTCTCACACTGAGTTTGGTTCTCCACTTGACAGATTGAGGACAATGTGCCGGCACTGAATGTGTAGAAAAGCTGTAAAGAGAGCGAGAATACAACAGTTCAGAGGTGTTATGTGAATTATTCATAGGCAATATTGAACACTTTTGCTGTGATTGACTGTGTTAAAGAAGGGGAACAGTCCTTAAATTACAATTTACTGAGGCATTTAGATGGTGTTTTACAGCCCTTTTATGAACTTTGGTAATCCTGTGTAATTGCACACAATGAAGGTTATAATTTGATTTATGGATGTCTGCAAACCAAGCTAAAAAATTATAGCACGAGCACCATTGGCCTGATATGAGCAGGCAGGTGGTGCAATCCAGATCATCCTTGAGAACATTTACATCTTAATTATTACTGACTACGCCAGTAAAGTTTGTGGTGAGTCGCAACAATACCAAAAGACAGGAAAATGTATGTGAAACATGGAGGAAAATAGCACTAGGGTTCCACTATGTGCTGTCCACAATACTGCTCACACACAAGAAAACATCAAACTGTATTGCAACAGCTGAGGCAAGTATTTTTCTATAGTTATAAAGCCATTTACTGCATATTCAATAATCAGATGGTGTGGAAGTTCATTCGGAGGAAGTTGTTCATAATTACAAATATTGATTGACCCAGAAAGTTTAACAAATCACTCCATGCTTACTCAAGAACCAGTTGGAATCCCTGAAAAACCAAAGGGCTCCAAATCAGCAGGACTGATTCATTACGCCTGCTGTACTTAATTTTCTGTGATTTGTATTGCTTCATTCATTGTGTTGTTAAATTCAAAGCATTCAATGTATATTCATGTACAATTAATTTATCATGGTGAGAAAACTTTGCATAATTTAACAGATGCATCATTCATGCCTTTTAGACTTTGATGCTGTTGATTAAATGAATTATTGGCAGAGTGTACTTTATGCAATGGACAAAGATTATTCATATATAAGGTCCAATGTATTAGAAAAAGTAGGTCTGATACATTTCAAACAGTTACCGTGATGTATACAAAAATAAACCCATGATCAAAACTATTATCTCCCGTGTGCGATGTGTTATATCCCCCACACTGTGTAAAAGTAATGAACTTCAATCAAGCACAATACTGTGAAGTGATCAAAAGTTTACTTTTTTAAATAGTTGTCAAGGTGAGTATCGGATTGAAAAGCACATCATTACCAAACACCTAACACATCACAGATTCCCTTTGACAATGTCATGCATTTCGATTGAAAGTAAATCCTGCTGATTTCTGTCGGCGGAGACTTTACAGATGACATTTTTCACAATGCCTTTCAAACGATTTGTTCCTCTCAACCTTTACTAGTATTCTAATGTATTCATTTATTTGATCAAATGATCTGTTCATTTAACTACAAAAAACGTTGTTAATCTCTGATTTATGGACAAAAAACAACTTAACTTACTTGATGAGGGACAGTTTTAAAGGACAAAGGAAGGGGAATAAGGTGAATCATACCTGAGATATTTCCAAGTCCTCTGTCAGGTCATCAGCTTTGGTTCATACAGCGGCACCAAGTCCTTAAACCTCAATTTATTATCCAAAAGGAAAAAATATCATCTTTGAGTCAGCTGTGAAAAGCTTCCAGGCCTGAGGGAAGCCAAAATGTGTCTGCTGCCTGAAAAGCCCTTTTAGATTGTGCACGTCCTGTTTACTGTATATTGGAGGAGCTGTGGTTGTTCCTGCAGCTGCTATCGAGTTCTTGATAATAAAGTTCGACCTGTGTGTCTGCTTTGATTACTTTTCAGTTCTGACTAGTGAGGCCCCGGGGCCATGGGGGATATGTCAATCGCCAACTCTGGTGGGGAACACTTGCAGCAGAAAGTGTGTGTGTGTTTGTGCTTTGAGTGTATGTGTTTGTTGCGATAGCCGAGATCAGCTCTTGCCAAAACTGTTACCATGGTATTCCCCCAACAGAAAGGGGCCTGATCAGTGAAAGGGCTCGTGGAGTTTTGGAAAATGAAACGAGCAATGGCAGCTGGCAAAGATCCTGAAAATGTAGGACCACAAATACAGTCATGCCAGTATCAGCAATCAGTTTATAAAGTTACCTAATAGTCATCCTCAATGTGCTCATTTAAAGGTTTGGAAGGAACTGTATGTCAGATCTAAGTGTATGAGTGCAAAACAATATCAATTTATTTGCAAACTCTACACACAATTCATATTTCGTTGTTGACGTGAGTAGTAGTTAGGGATTTCGGACATTTCCAGCTTCACTTTGCAGCTTGTAGGGTTTTTTGTCCCATTGACTCAGGCATCATAATGAGACCGTGTTCTTAATTTAAAAACATGTGCCCTTGTGACCTAGCTGGACACAAAGACATTGTGTATATCTTCCTTTTAATTACTCTAGAGACAGAAAAACAATATCTTCATTCATATTAATGCAATTAAATATGAAGCCAGAAGCTCTCTTGTTTTTCCTGGCAGGTAACCTCCTAACCTTAATATCTTATACAGATAGTCTATCATCAGCCAATTAGAAAGATTAATGAACATTTACCCAGAGCCCATTGCTGTACCGGTGGGTGGGGACAGTAAGTAGATACAGGGATTCAAAAGAGAGATATTTAATCATATTAGAAGCTTAATTACACCCAAAGTG